TGGTGTGGCGTCGCATCGGATCAAGCATCGTAAAGTCAAAACTGACATCAGAAGGTCGAAACAGGGTGTCAATTTAGAAACGTTGTAAGTGCAAAATGTTGTAACTTGAAATGTAAGTTGAGGACTGCCTATATACCAGATGTTGTGTATTTGTCTGTTTTCTACAGTTCTGCTGGCACTTATGTTTTGGATACAACAAAAACATGGGCTCTTCATCTGGTTCTCAGCATTGGCAATTATTGTCTTCAGATCAGAGCTCTGTATATTCTTAGGCCTCATGCTTCTGGTGACATTATTAAGTAAAAGACTCTCTATTTTGAAGATGCTTTCCCATGCTATCCTAGCTGGAGTGTTTTGGTTGGGTAAGTGTTTATTTTTTCATAGAATTTAATAGATAGATTTTTAAAATTATTTTCCTGAAGACTAGTTTGATTTAAACTATAGCTGCGGTAAATTTTCCCTTAATTAAAAGTGGTGTTTGAGAATAAATTCCCTGTATTTTCATAATCAGAGGTTAATTTTAAGGCAAAAATAGTGATGCTTTCTAGTTGCAGAAATATTATTTAGCAGAAATCTTATAACAGTATTCCGTCTCCTGTAGAAGCAGCCAGGTGTTTCAGTGTATAAAGGTTTTCCTCAAGTGCTCTGCCAGAGGAAGGTCTGCATGCCTGTGCAGGGTTTGGCGGTCATTGCAACGTATGAATTAAGACCCATGGGAAAGGTGCAATGAGTTGAGTATTTCTTTTAAAATAAGGAATTAACAGTTCCTTATAGTGAAATGGATATGCAAGGGGCTGGAGAGATAGGACCATTGGATCATATATTGCCTTATTGTTTTGATTTTTTACTGTATTAGTTTATTTGGAAATGCTGTGTATCTCAAGTCATTTATAGAACAGAGGGGCATTTGTATTTATATCCTTACAAATATTTTGAGTCTTTTCAAAAGGGGGACATTTCAGAAAAGCAGCAGCTGGTATGTTCTCACTATTTCATGTGAAAACCCACTGCTCCAACTTTAATGCTCCTTCATCCAGGGTTAAAGTTGGAATGAAGCATTCTCAACTTGTTCACACATAGAAGGTGCCCACACCCTCTGAGTCTTCTCCTGTGAGCTCATTGTCTTTACCAGGAGGATGAAAAGGAAAGGAAGAGGAAGGAAAGTAGATTAGAAATGGACATCATCAAATTAAAGGATCAGCTATGCCAGGATGTGTTAATTGGCACAGCTGACCCAATTCATCGGGTGAGACACACGTTGCCTCTTTTCCTGCCCATTGATTTTATGGGACAACTGCTCATATGTTCCTCACTTCCAGAGATGTGCCTTTGGCCATCTGTGAGGTTTCTGAAGATTGCTAGGGGCACATCTCTGCAAATGGGGAACCACAACTTTCCCTGCTTCCAGATATGGGTCCTGGAGATCCAAGGGGTGTATCTGTAGAAGTGGAGAAAGCTGGGACACTCCAGTAGGGTTCTGCCAATCAGTTGATTTGTGGTTTTCACCCTGGGACCACACCAGAGTGATGAACTTGCTCTGGTGTAATCCCAGGGCTGACACCACCAACTGCTGTGTTCCCAGGGCTAGGCTTGCCAATTAGCTTATTAGCCACCCCAGCCCTGTGACTGCACTGGAGTGTGCTGGCTTTTTTCACTTCCAGATATGCACCCCCAGGAAGTGGAAGTGGTATTAGCTCCTTTGTTACTGGTGCTAACACCAGCCCTGGCAGGTGTAGCAAGAAGCCCCTAGGGCCAGATGACACACTTCTGTGGGCCAGATCTAGCCTGAGGGTTGTATGTGTGTCATCCATATTATAATGTGTTTGTCTGTTCACATTGTTAGATTAATGTGCAGGTTGACTTGGATGTTTTGTATTAAACAACACTTTAGTCATGTATATTTCTTTAATTTTTTTAGGACTAACGATTGCTGTGGACTCTGTTTTCTGGGGACAACTTCTGTGGCCTGAAGGGAAAGTGCTTTGGTATAATACAATTTTAAACAAAAGTTCCAGCTGGGGAGTATCCTTTCACATCCATATAGGAAAATTTAAGACATAGTGTCAGTCAAGACAAATTTATTCATGAGACTTGACTATGGCATGTTTGAATGTTTGGCTTAAGTGATAACATTCTGTTGAAATTTACTAGGTGAGGCCTAATTCCAGCTTCGGTTTCTCTGTTGACATCGTTTTTGTGCCCACTCTACTTTAGTGAATTCAATAAGCACAGGATCAAGCCTTTTCTGCATCCTCTTTACATGTTCCTCAAACTTTTTGGTGCTTTGTATGTCCCTCTTTGTTGTGTGTTCTTCTCCATTTCCTGTTGTTCTGGCCTTGGGTTACATCTGCATTGGCAAAATATGGAATCCATAATTTCCCATCAGTGCAGTGGTGGTAGCAAAGATGAAACTGTGATCTGAGTAACAGGTACTATTAAATGACCTGGTGACAAAAGAACATCTGTGCGCTGTGTCCTCTAGAGCTGCCTTCTGCTGTCTGATAGCACCAGTGGACCAACATTTGTGTGCTTAAATTCTTACAGGTGTTCCTAAGTAGACAGAAGCCTTGGTGCTATATACTCAATTCAACATTCACCTCCTTGTTGTTTATGGTTTTATAAAAATTTGCCTCCTTTCTTTTTTGACTGTTGAAGGTCAAGTCTGAAGAACTCCTTGGCTTCTCCTGTCTTCATCAATGCCTCTAATCTTGGAGAGAGAATTTGTTTTACAGAAGTGCATTTTAGCTTGCTATCCTCTTGAGCCTATCTGCCTTCCTGGCAATAATTTGACTTGCTAGCCATTTCTTAATTCTCATTGTATCTCTGACAGTGGGGGAAAAAGGCAAGTGGGTCATAGGGCATCTTGTGTAGGTTGGGGAAGAAGGGAAGTTGTAATTTCAGGAATATGTGAGGAGGGATGGGGATGGTGTTCACATTAAGTTTATCGTATTTACACTTCTTTCTTTTTTATAAAATGTATTTTCAAAGGTCTTTACATTCAGGCTCCTTCTTGAAATTTCATTTTAATATCCACTTACGTATAATAATCTAGTGATACATACCTATGCTGCTCTGTAGGCATTCATACAGTGCTCATTGTTATGTTATCTAAATACCTGAGGAGAATGAAGGAACCCAGTGTATAAAATGATGGACCACCGAATCTTACCTCTTGTGTCATAAGGCTAATGTTTTTAAATAGAAAGCTGGTTAAAAAAATACTAAAATGCTTCGAAATATTGTGTGAATATGTGGGGGGAGGGGAGTTGGAGATATTTCTTTATATTTTTTTCCTGTTTTCATCCAGCTGCTTAGCTGGCTGTAAAATGGCAAAATTGTAATAAAATACAGTAAAAAAAAAAACACCCTATCAATTAGTTTACCAAATTTATTTACAATATTTTGAATATATTCATTGCTTGGAATACATGATAGGTAAAAAAATCAAGCATATTGAATGCTTCTACAACTGTTGTAGAATCTCTTTTAACAGATAAAGTGATCTTCAACAGACCTTTTCTTATCATGAAAGCTTCCTTAACTTCTTTTTTATCTTGAAGACTTCCCCCTTCTTGTGGTACTTCTATTCAGCCCTACCTCGTGCTTTGGGATGTAGTGTTATATTTGTACCTCTAGGTGCAACTGACAAAAGGACTCGGGTGCTACTTCTGCCAACACTGGGTTTTATTTTCTTGTATTCATTTCTTCCACACAAAGAGCTGCGGTTTATCATATACACTTTCCCTGTCTTCAACATTGTGGCTGCCAAAGGTTGCTCAAGAATGTAAGTTTTAAGAAGTATTATTTTAAGTGTTCTAAAAAAACATTCTTAATCCAAAACTTAGTGACTTTATGCATTTTCAAGATAATGTAAATGTTATTATCCCAATTTTGGAGGAGGAAATGGAGGCATGGGAAAGTAAAATGGTTTTGTATGAGGTCATCCAATAGGCCATGACAGAGCTACAAATAGAAAACTAGGTCCTGGTTGGCACAGTCTAGTGCTCTGTACATTAGACAATACTGCTTTACTTGGTAGGTATCACTGCCTCTCCTCATACAGATATGTGTAGGTCAGTTCTTTTGTCACTGAGAGTAGAAAAAGTCTTAAATGTCAAAAGAGGGCATGCATACAGATGGTTATAGTGCTATATTATGGTGGATAGTGCTTTTGTACATGGAACAACTGTTGTAGTGACCAGTGGCAGCACAGGTTAGAAGTTGGCTGTCCCATGATCAGCACAAAGGTCTGAAGGCCCCTCAGCAGGAGTCATAGAGGGCTGTTCTGGGGTTTGACTAAGGTCAAAAGGTATGGACCACATAAGTATGCTTATTTTAACCTAATACTAGCTCTTTGCACCCAACCTTTTGGTATGGGTATATGCAGCAGTACTGAACAAGTAATGCTATGGGCAACATCTTAATTTGCTGTACCTGGCAGCCTAAGTGTTTTTTGTTTTTTTTTTAATGTCCTGTGGCTATGAACTGTGTCAGCAATGTCATTTTATTTCTGCACCTGTAAGAAGGAGAATGTTTGGAGATGGGGAAATGGGCTGTATTTTGGACTGCTGCCAGCCAGCAAATGGAAGTAATTTAGTGCTCTTTTTATGCATATGTGCACCTGCATTGGAGGACTACTGTTAATGTGTCATATTAATCCAAAATGTACATTGACCCATATTGTTACCTTTGTAATCAGATATATAACTATATTTATTACTAACTATAGTGGCATTTAAGCTAAGATGTCAGTGAAAACTGAAAGTGCTAGATCACTGTAAGTACAATGGCTATCTTTAAAATGGTCTGCCAAGAGAGCTTATTCTGTACGCTGAACAAATATCACATTTTTGCTTTACTTGATTATCCCAATTAATGAACATTTTGAGCAGGTATCCCCAACAGATTGCACTCCTAGCATAATTATAATTCAGTTTACTTCACCCACTAGAGGAAAAAATTATTTATTCCAGCGTAGTATTGTATTGTTAACATTGCTTTCCTCAGAGGACTACTTAATGAGTCTAATACACACATTAGCATTAATTATGGAGTTAACATGGAAGAACTGAATATAGTTTTACAGATTACAATATTCCAAATCAGTTTGGATATTTATTTCTATAGCTAAGATTTAAAACATGAAAGTGTGTAATAATATGGATATTGTATTGCTTGTTGTTACTATGAATTGTTGTAAAGATAATTCCTTTAGAAATGTTGGAAACAAATGCATTCTGTTAGAATTAGCTTATTAATAAAATTTGCAGAAACCCCCTTTCTTTCTTTTGTCTAACAGTGAAACCATCTGTTTTTCAAAGCATTTTTGTCCCAGTATTTAATCTAACATAGCTAGAATGTCAAGGCAGGCAAGATCAAGAGCTAATCTTTGTTTATCTTTTTCTCCTTTGCAGCCTGAATAACTACAGGAAATCCTGTCTTTATAAACTAGGATCTCTGTTTGTTATAACACATCTTCTAGTTAATTGTGCTTATTCAGGAGCATCATTATATGTTTCACATTTCAACTACCCTGGAGGAGTAGCAATACAGAAATTACATGAGTTTGTGCCTTCAACAGCAGGTATGTAAGACTCGTGCAAAAGAGCTCAGTTTTTACATTTTTCTGCTACATATTTTCTATAAACATTAGGTTTGTTTCTTATTTTGCAATAGTTGCCATATTTACTTGAATTCTAGACAAAGCTGGAACTGAGCTGCTGCCTGCCCTGGGAAGGAATGGGTCATTTGGTGGGGGAGCACAGGGAGACGGGTGTGGAGGGGGAAGGGGAAGCCCTGCCTGTGCAGTTCAAGGGGGAGCACAGGGGACACTGCAGTCTGACCTAACGTTGCAGTAACTATTTGGAAATGGTATTGTTTCTCTTGTAGATGTCTCTGTTCATATCGATGTGACTGCTGCACAAACCGGGGTTTCTCGATTTTTAGAAATCAACCCGAATTGGAGGTATGTTATGAACAAAGATTTTGTTTTCCTTGCTGCCAGCAAGCATCATGGGTACTGGTTCCTATTTAGTGTGCTTGTTAAGTCATGATCAAGGAAAATACAAATCTTTAGGGAATTGTGGCGGAGTCTGTGGGAATTTCACACCAAACACAGGATGGTGATAAAGCTATTATGTTTTTCTTGGCTCTTAAATAATGAACCAGAGATATTTTGTTTAAATGCCAGAGATCATTTGAAAACACAAGAAACTGTCAAATATTGGTTAGCTTATTGTTTTTGAACACCTCTACTGTAGCTCCACCAAAAAATCATACAAAATTCCCTCTGCATTTCACTAGGTCCTGTAAAATGCATCACACTAGTCCCAATCCTTTCTGTTCTTGACAGTCCAGTGCAAAAAAACAAAACAAGACATTGCTTTAAGCGCAGTTTCTAAAGACAGCAGTAGATTTTTTTTTTAAAACAAAAATGATAAAATGTACTAGTACTTACTTGCATAAAGTATTCCTTAATTATGTTGGGAACTTTATTTTATTATTGTGACATAAAATTACTAATGTCATGGCCATATAAATCTGGGTGAGAACATCTATATAATGTTTTAGCTAAAATCATCAGCAGTGCAAAACCATCAGTGTTAGTTAATAGATATTGCAGTTAGGATGCTGTTGTTTATTTTTCAGGATACAGATGAGAAAAAGCCCCAGTATACTTTTAATACAGAAAGCTTTTTCCACAAGGAGAGCCTAGATACCTTATTTTAAAATTGAAACTTAGACTGAAGAATTCAGCAGCTTTAAAAACAAACCTGATTTTTGGCTTTTTCAGGTCAGCAGCAAACTGTCACTAATACAGTGTCTGCAGAATTTGACCTGAATTGAAGAGAAATCCCAGGTGATCTGTGCCTGGGTATTTTTCACTTTCATTAGTCATGATCTTCAGAATCAGACGTAGTCTCATAATTCAGTTCTTTGTGTGCAGGGTCTGACAAATGCTCTCTGGCGTGAAAGAGGAGAATGAGAGGAAAGACGTTCTGGGGAGGGGGAGAGGTGGAAATTGCCAAGTTTGGTGTTTCTAATTTTATCACTATTTTTTCAAAATACAAATAACACTACTGAATATTTTAAAGGGGATGTTTTCTCTCAGAAGTGCAAGTCCATCTATGCTCCAGTCATAATGTTTTTGTGTGTTGGGGTCTTGAGTGTACATCATAGAACGTTCTCTCTGTGGCAGGATGGACAATAGCTGAAGTGCTCCATTTATTGTTTACTCAGCAAATTTATTTGCTGAACATTCTTAGAAATATTTTACTCTTAATTTATTTTTTTATATATAAAGTACATAATGTTGATGGATTTTGCTCAGTTTTGCTTCTCAGTGATGATACAGGAATAATTTGTTCATGAAACCATGATACGGTGAAAAAAAAGAAGGAAATATTACTCCTGTCACTCTGATAGATGTTCCATGGTTGTGAGCCAAGAGGCAGTTTGTCTCTCTCACTTTTATCTTTGCTCATCAGAAAGAAGCCTCAGGGAAAGGTTGATTCATTCTAAGGATCTACATGGAAGGAATCAGGCAAAAATCAGCAGCTGAGCCCTCTACATAGGGTACTGAAACCTTATCATTGGACAGCACAATAGTACATGCAAGGAGAGTGGCACCATCTGTTCCCTCTTGCTTAAGGAAGCAATAACCTATCAGATGAGTAGAAACTAATTTACCCTCTTCAGAAATCAAGTCCATGAAGTAAAAACCAAATTTATGGACAGGGTGGCTAAGCAAATTAATGATTCATCAGGATAGCTACTGCACATAACCAGAAGTAATCTGGGAGTTAACATCTTCCACTTATATATCCAGATTATATCTAGTTGCCTCAAGAAAAAAAAACATGCAAAGCTTTCAAAGAGGGACTGAAATAAGTTTGATGTAGGTTCTAAAATGGGGCAGGCCCTAGGATCTTTTCTGAATGCATTAATTAATGTATACTCTTTAAACAAGGATGAAAGTCTCTGTAAAAATAAAGGTGCCTAATAAGGTGTCAAGGGGAGTGGTGGAATCTTCGTTTGGAGGTTTCTGAGAAGAGGCTAGACAGGCATCTGTCTGAGGTGGTTTAGGAACAGCAACTCCTGCATTTTTTTAGGGGTTAGATTAGGTGATTTGCAAGATCCCTTCCAACCGATGGATACTGTAATACTAAGGTATTTAAAGATAATTATGGTGAGCCTGCATCTTTATGATAGCCCCTGTACTTGTTGAGGAGGAAAATACTAGATGTGTACTGATACATTGGTTTGATATCGGATTGGTACCTGTGACAGGAGCATCTCTACTGGAGCCTTTCTATTGGTGGTGCCACCCTCCTGTTATGGGCCAACCACCTGCTTATTCACCTGCCATGCCTTGATCTTAACTGATTAATTGACTGATGTAATTAGCGGGAGGCTACCCACTTCATGCACCCTGGTGCCAGGGGGTGCTGTTTGAGGCTCCTTTTCCACCCCTATATCGCAGCCCAAGCCTCGCAGATGGTACTGACATAGTTTTTGACCTGGGCCCTGTTGTGGCTTGGCCCTCTCCTTTACCTTCTTGGGGCTTCTCGCTGCCCCCCCCCCCCCCCCCCCCCCGCTCTGGGGCTTCTCACTGCCCCCCTTGCTCTGGGGCTGGGGTCAGTGCACCCCAAAATGCTGCACCTTCTCTGGCACCAAGGTCCCCATGTTCCTGTGGAGCCCTTGTGAGGCCTCCTCCAACCCCTAATAGCCTCACCTGGTCCTCCGGTTAAAACAGTAAACACAAAAAACACAAAGCCCCTGGGCTATAACATAAAAAGCTGGACCGTCCAGCCAAACAGCATTTAACTCCTACCAGGAAAACACTCCAACCCCAGCAGTGACCAGGGGGTGCTCACACAGTCAGAGTTCTCCCCTTCGTCTGTACTAGCTGAGTTTCTCCTCCCTCAGTCTCCAGAGGGAAACTGCCCTCTTGACCTCCTGCCTGGGCTTATATGGGCCAGGCCCTGCCTCTTCCTGTCAGCTGGCCCCACTGGTTGCCTTAGCAACCAGCACCTGTGACTCTGGCTGCCCTGGCGACTGGCAGATGAGCCTCCCCCTTCTTGCCACTAGGGGTCTCTCCCGAGCTGTTCCTCTGCTCTCAGGCACAGGGCACCTGAGTGCTCTGCGACAGTACCAATATGAAGAAAATTGTTTGTATCGGATATTGGCCCTATGGGGTTGATAATTTGGTCGATAAATGCCTGTGCTGCTTGCAGCTGCAGCACAGCACGGAGCAGAGCCGGCAGCGTGGAGAGCTGCCTCCAGCTGGTAAATTGGAAGGGGAGGGGGAGGGGAAGGGGCGTGGTGGGGCAGACCAACGCCCCCATGGTGAGGGAGGAGGCAGGGGCAGGTGCTACCCAGCCGGGGCGGGAGGGGATCATGGGACGGAGATACAGCTTGTGGGGTGGGCATGGCCCCCACCAATGCTTGTACCCCGGGAGGGAGAGGGGTGGCTGTGTGCCCCCAGATCTGTGTGGTGTGGGGCGGGTGGCAGCTGCGGGGTGGAACCAGAGCTGGTGCTTCACAGCTCTTCTAGTCAGGAGCTGAGTTCAGAGCAGGCTCTGACAGCGCTGGGAGGAGGCTGTAACTACTCCAAATTTCACTGCAGCTCTGTTCCCAGCCCCGTGCCACCGCCTGGCACAGCCCCAACTCAACATCCTGCCTCCACCCAAGCACTGGGAAAAGCTGGGGCTGCACTGGGTGGTGGTGCAGGGCTGGGAGCGGAGCTGCAGCAAAATTTGGGGTGACTGCAGCCTCTTCCCAGTGCCACCGCAGCCCACTCCAAGCTCAGCCCCCTGGTGAGAAGAGCCGTGCCACTCCAGCTCCACCCTGCAGCTGCCACCCAACCCCTGCCATGCAGATCTGGGGCACACAGCCACGCCCCTCCGCCCTCCTGAGGTGCGTACAGCAGCAGGAGCCACCCCCGCCCCATGAGTCGTGCCTCCGTCCTGCGCCCGTCCCGCCCCAGCTGGGCAGTGCCTGCCCCTGCCCCCTTCGTCACTGCGGGGGGCATTGATCGGCCCCCCCCCCCCTTCTTTTTCCCCACCTTCCACCACACCAGACTTACCACCTGGAGGCAGCTGTATCGGATATCAGGACTTTTTTCCATTATTTTTAGTTACACCTCAAGACGTGAGGATTGATGGAAAATCACTAGTGGGATAGTGCATTTGCTGTCAGTTAATCTTTTGCTCCATTTACTTCAGTTTGATCATCATTTAGGTAATGTTAAGTCTAAGCATATTTTTTGTGAAAACTGTTGTAAAGCATTGATCCAGAGCTGAATAGAAAGGTTAGACTTTGAAGCTTCTGTTTTAGAATCAAAGCTCCTCCTATTCCACATCCACAATTCATAGTTCTAAAATGGCCTTCAGACCTCAAGAGATAGGAAACAACCTAGATATTAGGATTGGTGGACACAGAATGTAATAGGTAAAGGGTTTTTTTCCTAGTCTCCCTTTCTTACCCAATTGTCATAAGGCAGGGGTGGGAAATTATTTGGGCCAGAGAGCCACTTAGGGAGTTTCATTGAGCTGTCACTGGCTGGGTCAGCATGCTGCTCCACCCTCCACAACAGCTAGCCAAAACTCCGCAAGTGGCCCTGCAGCCAAAATATTTTCCCACCTCGATCTATGGCAGAGAGGTGAGTGGACAAAGGTTAGGGGAATGTAACTTCTGTTCAACCCTTTTTCCTGCACCCCTTCTGCTGCCCTGAGTTTTTGGCATGCAGTTGCACTGGGCCAGTGCTGCGCTGTGTTCCTGTGTACAGCCTTGGGCCACATGGGCAGAACTGGAGTGGCCCCTGCCTGACCCAGCCGTGTGCCAGGGACTCGGACAGGGGAGGGGATGCTGGGAGAAGGGGGAACACAGCATGGCTGGGCTCTCAGTTCCCTTCTTGTACCCTCTCCCCTGACATGAGTCCCCAGTGTGCAGCCAAGTCAGGCAGGAGCTGTGCCTACATGGCCTGAGGCAGTGCATGGGAACATAACATGGCACCAGCCCAGCCATGTGCTGGAGACTTGAGTGCAGGGAGAAGGGGCCTGGTATCCATGGGTTATCCAGGCTTGGCTGGGCTGGTGCCATGCTGTTTTTCTTCCCTGCTAATATAGAATGCAAAAGACCTGAGAATATAAATATTCCTTCTTCTCCCACTGTTTGGAAAAGCCTAACGTAGCATGGTACACTTGGTTTCGTGAAGGCGTTGATTTTTATATGAATGACTTGAAGAGTAGCACTGACTCACTGTTGCTATATTTTCATACGTATGTTCCATTGTGGCTGTTCATATTGCCCCAAAACAACATAAACAAAAGAACGAGTCAAGGAAGACGTTCAGAATCAAGTGATTGAAAGTGATCATTTCCAACAGTGCCTCACTGAGACCTGCCTGATGATCTTGACACCACTGATCACTGGGAGAGTCTCAAGAAAGGCATCCTGAGGTATAGAGATTGTCTAGGCTTCACCACAAAGAAATATCAGGACTTCCATAAGAATGATAAGCAAGTTCAAGCTCTTGCTGATGGAAAAAGGAGACAGCTAGGCAGAATGACATTATCTCCAAATGGAAACAAGGTATTTATTGCCACATTAGAGCTGAGACCCAGAGGAAAACTCACAAGTGAAAGAACAAGTAGTGAGAGGACAAAGCAAAAAAGATTCAAAAGTTTGCCAGTAGCCACAACATGAATAGTTTCTTCAGCACAACTAAACTATCTATGGACCAAGCACACAAGGAGCCGTCCCTCTGAGGTCCAAGAATAGAACAACACTCCTTAAAGACAACTCCACTATCAATGTACGGTGGAAGGGAGCAGTTTCAAGAGCTCCTGAAGCATGATTCTTATGTGGAAGACAATACCATCAAAGCCATTTTGCAACACCCATTAAGGACCACAGCTCCTGATCCTCCATCAGTTTATTGGTGCAGATCCACCAATTTATTAAGAGGCTTTGAAAGCCATTAAGTAGGTGAAGAGCTACAAAGCATGTAGTCCTGATGGAATACCAGCCGAATATACACAAGGTAGAAGAATTCTCTCACTAATTACATGGCATTATTATGAAAATATGGAAACACAGATTTTTACTGACTTGGAAGATGCCAGGTTGTTACCATATTCAAGAAAGGAGATAGATTGGATTGCAGCAATTATTGTGGTATTGTACTCCTTTTCCATAAATGGGAAGATCGTTACCCATGTTCTCCTCATTAGACTCACTTTCTTCCTTGAGATTCTTACCTGAATCCCAGTGTGGTTTCAGACCACTCAAAGGTACTATAGATATGATCATTGTTGCTAGACAGCTGCAGAAGTGCTATGAGCGACACCAAGATCTTTACATGGCCTTCACTGACCTAAGGCCTTTGATTATTTGATTAATTGATAGAGAGGCCCTATGAGATTTGGATGCCCATCAAAATTTGTTATCATTATCAGACTTGTTCACAATGACATGGCAGCAACCATTCGAAGGACTAGCTTGAAAACAGACCACTTCACTATTAGAACTGTTTAACTGGAGTGAAGCAAGGATGTGTGATTGCACCAACACTCTTTTCCATGTATATTGCAGCTCTACCATATCTCTTTGTTGATAAGCTTCCATTGGGAGTCAGCATCCAGTATTGCGTGGACACGAATCTCTAACAACCCGTTATGTTCCAGATCCAAGATAAGCAACACCTTCGTTACTGGTCTTCAATTGAGTGGGCATATATGACACAGTTTATCATGATTGTTTTGAAGAAACTTTCTTCTCTATGGAGGCAGATAGATGAGGAAGACAAAGGGAAAGAGCTGTGACCCAACATCAGTCAGTTCTATTTCTTTCTTCTGGAACTATTTGTCACATCTGTAGGTGAACACACAGATCTTGGGCTAGCCTCATACATCTGTGGACTATATGATGAATTCCCTATTTACTGGAAGACTAATCCTCATATTGAGGGACTGCTGCCACTGTCAGTAATGCATAATAAATGTAATGTCAGCTAGGGGCTTGGGTCAAAGCAATTGATAGCTAACTATGTACAGCCCTCTTTCTCTCCAGAAACATTGTTGCAACAGCAGCTTAGTAAAATCATTCACAACTGGTTTCCTCAAACGAGGTAGCTTTTAACTGCCAAACAAAACAGTTCCTTTGCTAAACGTGTACTCTCCAAATTATTCACTGGAGCGGGGACTTGAATCTGACTCCCCTGTTTCCTAGTTGAAGGCCCAAACCAAAGGGCTATGATAGTCATTTTCTCTACATATCTGTAAGTTATCTAGGTGGAATAGAACAGCTTTAACAGTAGTGAGTGAGAGACACCAGAATATCTTAAAGCCTAGCTGCTACCACAATCTCTGAACAGGTAGAAGACCTGTTTTCAAATCCTTGTTTCAAATCAGGAGGGCTGGTCTAAAATCCCAAAGCAAGTCTGTTGGATAAAAGGGAGAAAAATGAGTGTCATCACCTTTGTTTCCAGCTGCTGCCTGGGGGATCTAGCCTGAACAGGGATTTAAGTGCCTGAATACGTTATGAGGTGATGTTATACGATAAGTCTGAATAGGTTAAGCATTTGGCTCGTATTCTAATGCAGAGATACTGTTGTAGCCCACCTGTATTTTTAGGTACCTGAATAACTTAATAAGTCTGATACCCAGTAATTTGACCCAGGGGAAACCTATGGCAGAACTGGAAATTAAGCCTAGGGTTCCCAATATTAGCTGAATTACACATGTATTAGTATGTCTGGTACTAATAGAAGCCCAAAATAGCTTTACAAACCTGATCCTTTCTTGTTTGCATCCCCAAAGCACAAGATGTACACTTATCCCTGTGTGTTTCAGACTATCCATGACAACATAATAAAGATTCTCACCTTTGCTGCCTGCAGAGATTCATGAAGGAGGATGGCACACATTGCAGCAGCAAGTCATCTTCAGTCCACTAAGTTCTCTGACTTTTCCCTTTAGTTTGTGCCCTCTGTTTTTCCAACAAACATTCTCTGATTGATATGTTTACATTTTTTTGTTTTACTGAGACTCCTAAACTGGACTAGACTAGTTCTGCCATGGCCCTAGAAGGCAACACCTAACAGATTTATGTTGTTGGGAAAACTGATTTTTGAGACAAGATTTCTGATGTCCATTCTCCACCATATTGGACTATCACAAACATGATGTTTATTTTTTCCTCCTTCCCCGTTTATTTTATCGTTTAGTTTTTTATAACTCCTCTGAGAAACAAAAACACACATAGCACAATTCAGTGTGCTATACAGGTGGTCCTTATGACACAACTGGTTCCTGAAAACCGCGTCTTAAGTAGAAACATAACTCGGAACCGATTTTCCCACAGGAACAATGTTATAAATGGGGGATTGGTTCCTGAACCAAAGCCCAATACCCTATTTAAACCAAAAATAACCCAGAATTTTGTAGTCAATCAATTATAGATGAGTAATATAGCTACATTAATGTATTTCTATTGTAAATAGCAATAGTATTGATTTGGAAGGACTTCTTTGAGGTGACTTTGCTGAACTTTTTGAAGGGCTCTTGGTTGGACTTTTTGAAGGGTTCTTGGCTGGAGTCTTCTCAGGAGTCTTGGCTGCAGGTTTTTCTAGAGTCTTGTCTGCTTTCTTAAAGTGTCCAAGGAAGTTTGGAAAGATGTTCTCCAGGGAGATGGGCAGTGCAGCGAACTTGTTCGCTGGCATGGGGTTGCATCGGATCAAGCGTCGTAGTCAAAACTGACATCAGAAAGTCGAAGCAGGGTATCAATTTATAAACGGCATAAGTGCTGTTTGTTGCAGCTCGAAATGTCTTAAGTCGAGGACTGCCTGTATTTGCTTACATCAATCGCCACTAACATTTTAAAGCTAAAACTAATATAACTGTGTTTTGAGGCCTGGAAGCACCAAATCCCAAGGTAGTGCTCTAGCCATCTCTCAAATTTTATACTGAAGTGTAGGAGAGACTACCTTTCCTTGACCATGATGTGATCTCACTGCGACTGCCTCTATTGCATCTGAAAATAAAATCCCCCACTATGTCCCAATAGAACCAAACTATCCCAGTCTCCATTTTCTAGTGTCAGAGGGCTCACTGTAAACCTTGTTTCTCAACGTACTTTGGCGAAGGATAGAAGGGAACTGTGCCAGAAGCAGTTACTGATTTTTTTGTACAGGCCATCACAACAGTAGCAAGAGCTGAGATTGCAGTGTCTGCTTTTAGTCCCAATTCCTTTTAAAAACTAGTATTTCTTCTGAAAGCCTCATAATAAAATGTACTGAAGAATTAAAGAACTTTGAACTTGTTTTGAACAGAACATGTCTTTTTAGATAATTAATGAAGGCTTGATATTTTGAGAAAATAAAGCAAATAAATGTGTTGCATGTTTTTTGCAGATATGACAAAAGGGAAGATGTTAAACCAGGGGACCAGCTGATGTTCTCTTATACACACATACTGATGGAAATGGACCCTATTCAAATATCACATTACAAGACTACCCACAGGCCAATGGTGAACATATCTGGCATTGGTAAAATTGTGTTGAACCTTACAGCACTACCTCCTTTTACTTTAAATTTAAAACCAAAATTAACACTGTTGGAAAAACTCCCTGTCTCTTCTTGATCAGAGATTTTTAAATGTCTTCTGACTTAACTGTTGATGATTAACTTCCAAGACAACCTTGTTTTGCCATTCTAGCAATACTGTTCAGCAGCTGTGGGAAAAAAAGAAAACAATCTTTGTACTGGTTAGTATTTGCCTCCATTCTTTATTTCTTATATAAATATCGCAGTGTTCCAACGCTGTATGTAAATCCCATCCAAACCATTGCTGAGCTATGTTGTACATACCACCTTCTTTGCAGCACATGTAACAAGCTCAGCACTGTTAAATACATTCTGCACGTTTGATTTGGATAGTTGCTTGTTTCACTTTGAAAGGTGTATATGTTCTAAGTGAATTGTATGAAATAGGTACGTGCCACTGAGGTATTTTTTATATGCAAGTCCTCTGTGGTGGTTGAGGATTTTCTGTATAAAGAGTGATTTCTTTCTTCCAAAGGATTAAGTTGAAATGAGAAGCTTTAATAATATCATTTTGTACTGCAGCAAAGCCATATTCATTGTAGCTTAATCACTATCCATAATTGTGCCCTGCAGGCTGATGAACTAATTAAAGTTAAAAAATCCATTTGAAGAGCAGTTGCACCTTTTGGCAAGCACCATCTCTTATCTGAGCTGAGTGTCACAGGATGGTTCATCATCATATATTCACTGTAGTAATAAATCAAAAGGGTAACTTGGCTTTTGGAAGAAAACATTAGGCATTCAATTTTTTTTTTTAGTAGCCTCTTATTTTCCAATACAAGGAAACAGTCTTGACCTGTAATATACACATTTAGCTGTAAAATATTCTTTTTAGTAAGCTTAAGAGAACATCTTCTCATTGTGAATAAATCAAAAAGGAATTCAGTTGTCTGGGAAGACTGTGAAAGGTGATGTTGCAGATAGTATTTCAGAGACAAATGGACTGTATTCTGCAGAAATGGTTATTTGTCCTTATGCCTAGAGGTTATGCATTAAGACTGATTCACTTTGTTTTCTTCTGACTGAGATATTTTGCTGTGTAAGCTCTTGATCAAAATCAGCACTGAGTACTCATTCTCCTTAATTAAAAGAGTTTACTGAAGTAAACAACTTAAGCTATGTGTTAGTTGAAACTGTGATGTCTTGTTTTCTTAAAAGACTAGTTTTACTGTGGTAAGCCCTGCAGTGAAAAGTCAGTGTTACCAATAAGCACAAAAACTTGATGGCATTCCAGTCGTGAAGTCCGATAACTGGATAGTAGTCTTCCTTATTTTCTAAAAACTTCAAAAGGTGTAAAATAAATACATTTTGTTGAATAAAAAGCAGTGTTTCATATAGGAGCCTACCTATGCACGCATACAAAAATGGCGGAGTTCCATTTTTAAGATTCTGCTTTCAAGTTTTCTTCTGTGCTTCATAGTGTATTTGAGGAACTAATAATACGGGATGGAACCTGCCCCAGTCTGCCTGGGTGGTTGTGCAGGAATCCCCACAATGAGTTTTGGAAAGGCTGACCTGCAAAACTTGTTAGTTCAGTATTTGGCTTTTCAAAATTGCCATTGGTAAGGCACCATCCATTTGATTTCTCTGTCAAAGAATACTTCCTCCAGAGTGATTTTCAGCATTAAATAATTCTAGTAGGAAAGAAGGATATGCAAGTGTAAGTTTTCAAGATGCAAAGGCAATTTTTTTGACCAAGGCTAGATCCAGTAAAGGATTTAAGCATCTTCCCCCAGAGTAGAATCCAAGGGCCTGAGTGAAGTGCTCCCTGTATTTTAGGGAGAGTTGCCTCAGGACAATCCAAAAATGTGATACATTAAGGGATTTGCCTAGAACTAGCCTATAGGGAAAACTGAATGTCTGAAATCCCACTCCTCTGGAGTTTAGGGACTTCAGTGTACTCAGGAGCCAGAGCCTGGATTTTTTTTTGTAATGACAGGGAAGTTTTTTCACTCCATTTGAAAGAACTGAGCAGAGCTCATTTAATACTTTTTAAATGGGGTTGAAGATGTTGCTGACCCCCTTTTACCTGGAATGGTGTAACACAGTGGGTAAAATCTTTTTACTCAAGACACCCCTCAAAAAATGCTAGCTCTTAAAGCATTTGCCCAGCATTTCCTACTCTCTCCTCAGCTTAGAAGAGTGCACTGACCAGCAGGCTAAAGGCTGGCTTAGGTGCACACTCCTCTTGAAGCTGGGTGACTGGGCAGAAAGGAATGCAAGAGAATATGAGGCAGAGCTAAAATAATTTTTGCTTCAATATGATTGACTTTTTGTGAAACTTTAATTCTTCGTACCTTTCTCATTAACTGTGATCTTTTGGAAAGATGACATCTAGGCAAATCATATTTGCTACAGTTTTAACTTAAAGTTGTGTGTGTTTTTAAAATGTGGCTTGTTTTGGTTTGTTTAAAATAATACCGTTTGTTCTTCTTTGGAGAGAATATCTGTACTGCAAAGCCTGTAGGTCTGTGCAAGAGAAGACCTGCAATTTTCTAATTTTGAGGGATTTTTCCTATTTGACCTAATTTTCGGAGCACAGAGTTTTTTTTTGTTGCCAACCCCATCCTCACCCTGCTTCTCTTCAAAAATATTTTCCCCCTGAAGTTTTGAATGCTGATTCTTTTTGCACCAGTAAGTTTAAGTGCAGTGAGAAAACCATACCACAAACCAGAATATTAAAATAAGCAAGACATTTGACTACAGCTTCCTCTGGTAGCTGGTCACACGATTAGTCACAGCTTCATATTTAATGTAGTTTACATAGGGAACACAGAGATCTTTCATAAGAATCTCGGATAACACAGAAAATGTAAGAAATGTGTAATATTTGTTTGCCTTAATAAGATACACCAAGATACATGTTTGGTCTTTCTGATATGTATCTTTAATGACCAACTCGGTTTAAGTTAATTAATGTAAACAATTACAATGTAATTATATTAAATGTGTATTTCAGATCTTTAACATGGGCAGAGTTGGGTCCCATGTGAAGTTCAAGGTCTTTGTCAAAATACATTCATTCTTCATGTGACAATTGGGAACTAGCTGGTTTGCCTCAAGTTTTTGTAAGGTCATAGTCCTGGGGTGTATTTCTGCCTTGTATATGGACACACTGCTCATTTGGGCCAAGAACCTGATGGAGGGAAGTACCATATTTTCTTGCATACCATACACCCCCAGATATGACATGTATTTTAAGAAAACAACGTAGAAAATATTTTTCCAGTCATGCTTAAGAGGTGACTGCATGCAGCAGCTCACTCAGTCAGTCAGATCATTGGCCGAGTAGCCAAAAGCTGCTGCTAATTGAGGAGCAGTTGCGAGAGGGTTAACACTGGACTCCTCCACTTTTGTTTTCTGGCCCAGAGCAAAGTAGCAGCTATTACAGCACAGCATCTCCAGTGAAGACATGCACTATTTAAGACATGCACCTCAACTTTGGAGGGCTAACTTTTAGAGATACGTGAAGTATGCAGGTAAGTACTGTATGCTAAACCAGGAACTGTTTTGTGAGAGAACAGGCAGAATCCCAGTAATTAGGATCTAGGATAATATTTAGCAAGGGAACTTTCAGTTATGTACACACAGTCAAATGATCTGGGAGAATGCTCCCAGGTTTGTTCTCCCAGTAGGAAAACTTATACAGAGTGCCCTGGGACAGACATTTGAGCAGTAAGCCTGCAGTGATGACACTGGCTTGCAGGGGACCCTAAAACAAGTACAATAGTCGGGGCAGGAATGTGAAGTCGGCAAGTGACAGGCAAGTGACAGGCAGTAGAGGGGCTGCCAGGTCAGTGACAAGGATGAGGTGTCAGCTGGGTCAGTACCAGGATGTAGTGGTTGGCCTACTGAAAAAGCTGGTAATATAACACGTCCCCTTCTCTTGGGCTAGGTACCTGGACAGATGTTCGGTCTTCTGAGGCATATTCTCCTGGGAGTCATTGCACTCAGGTTGCTCCCAATTTATTTTCCTCCCAGAACGACCATTTTTGCTCTGGGAGAAAAAACATTAAAAAATTATTTATACATTTGCGCCTTCTCCTGGGAGAGCAGCAAATCTCCCAGTGGAAACTGAATATGTGTATGTTGCCTTAGGATTCCTCCATTTCTTGTTGAATGACCCATTGCAGAAATATGAGGCATCCCAGTGGTGGTGTCTTTAACTGCCAGACATGTTTCCTCTGTCAAAATGTTTATGATTTACAGATTCCAGATGTACATATATGCTCATGCAAGATACGTTTCAGTGCATAAAGCACAGCTCAAATTTTGCCTTCAATTTCCATTCATTTCAGTAAGCATCACCACACATGTAACTGGGGACAAAACATAGTGTTAGTTACTATATTCTCATATATAACATGGCCTAACTACTTAGAACTAAATTCTGCACATTTTATTCATTTATTATAAAAAGAAATTGTACTATATTAGGTACTCAGGTAGATTTTTATTAACAGGGTATTTTTTCTTCAAGGTAGTCACTTTATCTGCTTTAATCTAAAGAAGTATCTTCTTGCTCTACAGTGTATATATACCCCAGCTGTTTGTTTGTTCCTGACCACTCTTATGGCAGTCATATGATCAAAGTTCTTTAAGGAGTTATCATCATCATAAATATCATTAACTACACGTCAAAGCACGTGTGTGCTCTTAAAGAAAACTCCACAGACTGCATCTATTTCTTTGGGTAGCTAAGTTGCTGTTGGAAAAAAGGGTTTGTTTTTGTTCTGGAACACTGCACTGGAACTAAGTTCTTTCTGCCAGCATGAGCCCACCATGCTGCCACAGGGCCCAGTTCTGCACAGAACCCTCTTGGCAAAAACTCCTACTGACCTGCAGGGGCTTTTGCCTTTTTGGGAGCTGAGAAATCAGGAAAATATTCCAAGTTGCAACTACAGAAGTTTTTTTTAATTTCTTTGAATTTGGAAAAAAGAAAGGGTTGACATGTTACCTCATTTTAAAGGAAACATGTAGGAAACTGTTCATAGCAAGCTGGCATTAAAATTTAAAATAAAATGAATTTCTTACCTTGCTATATTGCCAAAAGCTTTCCAGCAGTCCTTTTGTCAGAAAATGTCTGAAATTGAGAAGTGCAAATTTCTACCACTCTTACTGAAGTAACAAGCCTTATTTTGGACATAATGCTTTTTTTGTTTTTTTTTACTATTTTTATTACTGTATTGTTTTGGTTGTATACAGTTCTGACTGGTATAGAAGTCAACCCCATATTTCCAGGTTCTGGTTTCAGTGAAACCAACTCCTTCCTCCTATAAGTTGATAAGCATGGATAGTCTTTGAATTGCTGTTGCCCATTCAAAATCCACAAGAGACTCAAACCAAAAAACTCAAAAGGTTACATGCATTAAAAATACTAAAATAAAACATAAACTGAAAAACTATATTCTAAATTTAATTTGGTACTTACATTGCATGCACAAATACTGCAAGTGAGTTAAATTTATTTGGAGGGTTGAATACAGAAGGATTCCACATACAAGTTAGATGTGAATATTGTGACTTGCGGTTCTTTCGGAGGAGAAAAGTTGGCATATAATTACGGATGTGAATCCAGGCAAGTGGCAAAGGCAAGTGTGGGAGCAGTGACCAGTGCTGCAGGGGTAGCTGCACCCTCTGCTCTCAACGTCCTCCCCACCCCCAGCAGACTGCAGCAGCAAGGCAAGAAGAGTTGGGCACACCTTGCCAACTCTCCAATCTCTAAAACAGGTAAGAATCCCTTTTCCCTTCTCGTTCCTGCTCAGAGGCGTGTCCCCATCCTCACCTGCCACTGTTGCTCCAGTCAGGCTGTGCAGGGGCTGGGCTTGGCCTGAGGCAGTGGCAGGTATGCAGTATCCCCCTCCCCACACCTGCTCCTGGGCTGGTGGGGAACACCCAACAGGACCAGGCAGGGAATGAGAACTTGCCTGTGGTCACCGCTGTCCTGGGCTGAGCCTAACACCTTCACAGCCCAGCTGGAGTGGGAGTAGTAGTCCCCTCGCCCTTGTGACAGCAGTGGTCGGGAGGGGGGCTAAATGCCTTCTGTGTGGGTATAGTTGGAAGGAGCAGGCAGGGAAGGAGAGGCCATCCCCTCCAGCTTGCACAGCCACAGGAGCACAGGAACTGCTACCTCTATTTCCAGGGTACATTGAGGAGTGCAGCAATAGGTGCACACTTCTGGGGTACTGGCAACCTCCAGGAGGCTTTTAGCTTCCCAGCACTCACCTTGTGTGGTGCTGCTTGACAATGCGTCTAGCACACAGCTATATTCAATCAGCACAGCTTAGCCCTGAGTGAATAATAAATTCCTTGTTTTAAAAATTCCTTTGTTCTCAAACTATGTCTCTTACCACAAAGAAGTTTCAGAGATCTGTAACATCTTACTACAAAGGTCAAGGTTGTTGTTATGTTCAGTAGATATGGTGGAAAACTAAGGTAATAATTAACTAGCAACTATGTAAAACAAGCTTCCCAATAACTAGTTCCGTTTGAAATGTGTTATTTATTGCTTCAGGACAGCACTCTTAATAAGTACTCTTTGCATTCAACCACAAAAGTCCAGACTTTATGCCATACTTTCCTCTCAAGATTACCTTGAAAATTTAAGGGGAAAAGATTACCAACACCACACACTAGTATCAGCAAATTCACTATAAATGCAGTTTAAAATAATTTTAGTTGTCACTTTATTTGCAAAATGCTTTGCTGAGTGGTGTGTGGTAAGTTTATGCCATTTGGAGAAGAATTCAGCAAACTTGATTTAAAATAATCAAATGATCTCAGTGAAATCAATTGGAACACTTGGATTAAGAATTTATTCAACCCAAGGAGCTGCAGAGTCTTGCCCTTGAAGACCAGAGCTATGCGTACCATCTAATCTTTTCTTTGTATAGCATTTTACATTGAATTTATGGTTTATGTATTTTGGTTGTATCGGTTTTCATTTAACGACTCTTTTCTAAGCTTATCCAAAAAGAAAAGGCATATTCATTAGCACTAGAAAACTGCAAATAAAATGTTTAATTTCAGAAACGGAGTTCACCATTTATAAATACACTAAAACATAGTAAATGCAAAATTAGATTAGGCATAGGTACAGTATTTTAACAAAGCTACAACTTTTTCTAAAAAGGTCATAGGCAAATGAATGACTTGTTTCCCAAAAGTATTTAATTAAAACTGAAATAAGAAGATGAAATTTTAGTATTAAAAAAAATGGAGAACCTTCTTAAAAATTTAAAATGCTGGCTATTTTTGCCTTACTGTGTAGTTTTGAGGGCTCTAAAACATCTCATTTGCCTGATGGACACTGTCAATTGTGAATCATTCCTACTACATAAAATTCTAAGCAGTGCACCACATCCATAAGGCTATTCCTGCGAATCAGAAAATTCATGATTTTTGTACTAGGAATTTTAAGACGAGTTGTTCTACACAGCTGTAATCACATGGGAAAATGAGGCTCACTTTTTACACCAGCAAACCTTATAGTTTTGATGCACTAAAGATTAAAAAGGCTTTAGATTGACATGAGATTTTTTTTGCTGTTTCTTGCCTTTTTAATACATTTCATTAAATAACAACCATTATTACACAAACTTTGATAAAACTTCCAAAAAGAGCTTATATAAATACCCAGAATATTTCTGTAGTTCAGTTACAATGTAAAACCTGAACAGAATAGCAAATGGGAAGTTTTATTACAGATTACTATCTGACATTCCATAATACCTCTAAATTTAGCTTTATTTTCAGATACAAAGTCAACAGTCTCCTGTAATAGTAAACACATCTTCCATAATATTTCTTCTTACTCTTTTTGTATTTTAGGGCTTGCAATTAAAAACTGCTAGGTAAAAAGATGGCTTGAACTCCACCTTTATATACAGCTTTCTTTTGACATCTACAAAAGCTGTTTTGTTGAAATTAAAGCAATGTTTAACTAAAATACAGTACCTGGTTTATGGTTTTTACATAATAATTGAATAAAAAACTACAGAATAGAACTGTTTACATCTTTTTTTGCCATTCTATTAAAACAGGACTGAGCATTTTTAAAGTTCATGTACAATTATGGATTAAAACCTACATAATTTTGTATAATTTGACGAGACAGACTATTTCTAGTGTGAACTTTTAAAAAAACATATATACAATATCTGGCCTGAAGAACTATGAATAAGGCACATGTAGACATATTGAAAGCTGAAAAAAGAAACTAAAATTTGGAATTACAGTCATTGATTAGATGTCATACATGGCCCCTACTGGAGCAGTTCAACAATCCAACTTACAGATAATTAATATCCAGTGAGCAACAATAGTTTTAGTCTGGCAGTTTGTTCAATAGTTTCAATACTGGAAGTATATTAAGGGAAGATTCACTTTCAAGAAGATAAGTTTTTCAAAGTGTTCAATCATTAGCCTCGACTGACTAAAGCTGTTGTTTTCATTGGATGTATTGAACAATCTCTCTGAAGGAACAATGCTGGGTGGACAACCCAAGAATCTAACAGCCAATTTTGACAGCACTGGCCAAGATGACCTCTTAAAGTTCCAGTAAGTTAGTGGATCACAGTTATGCTCAAGCACTTCTTCCTCCAAGTATGAAAGCACCATTTCCTCTGGTAACTTTACTTTTTCTCTTAGATCTTTTGCTTTTTTCATGTCACCCATTAGTGACCAAAGACTATCTTCCCCATAGGAATTTGCAGATGGTGAACCTATATCACATCCATTGGAAACAGGTTTCTCATCTTCTGAGGTAGAACTCATTATTTCCAGCTCCCTGATTAAGTCCTGTTTATATTGTTCAGCCTCCTCTTCTGTGAATAAGGATGCTTTATAACGTGGATCCAAAAGTGTAGCAAAAATGTACCTTGGATCATGAAGCGTGGAGGACAATCTACTCACCATAGCTTCTTTCAAGGATTTTAACATGGTATCTATACCCATTGTTTCCTCAAACAACATTTCTATTTTCCTGTTAAGTATGTGAATCATTGGAATCACTTGACTTAAAGTAGACATGTGTGTGCTCATCTCTCTACTTGCAGCTTCAAAAGGTTTCAGAGCATGACACACAGACTGCATAACTTCCCACTGATCACAACTTATTAGTTCCCTAAAGCTGCACTCAATTGACATTTCATCAATTGCTCTTTTCTGTTCAATTAGGCGTTCAAGCATATGGAATGATGTATTCCACTTGGATGGAACATCTTGAATCAGTTGGTGCTGAGGCAATTCGTATTCTTTTTGTAACTCTGCTAATTTCTCTTTTGCTTTTGCTGACCGATGAACACGCTCACAGATCTTTCTTGCAATACTAAGCAAGTTTTGAACCATTCTCTGACTTTTAATAGCTTCATTCACTATGAGATTAATAGTGTGACCAAAACATTGTACACTCGAATGATCACCTTCATTTAAAGTTTTTTCTATACTCTGATTATCAGTAACAGTAATCCCAATCTGAAGGCCAATGGAAGTAATCCAGGTTTCCCACCAATATTCTAGTTGCTTTTGAATACTGATGCCATTGTAATCGCAATCGATCTGTGCAACATTTAAAAGTGCTGAACAGTGGTAATCTTCACACTGTGGTCGAAACGAGGACTCGAACGTTACCCAATGAGCTGTAAGGGTCAGATATTCTCTTGTTTGGTTGCTCATCCATATTCCAGATGTAAAATGGATCACTCCACTTTCAGCTTCTTTAAGATGCGAAATAATTATTTGTTTTACATTATCATACATGTCTGGAATCGCTGTCCTAGAAAAATAAGATGGTGAAGGTAAGGAATACTGAGGTTGCAAGTATTCAAGCAGCCTGTTAAAGCCAATGTTGTCTACAAAGGAATATGGCTGAAGGTCCAGTGCAATCATTTCAGCTACAAGACTTGTGATTTTTTTGGCAACTGGGTGAGAGTCACAAAACTTGTCATTGGTTTCATCAAAGGTTGAAGGTCCTAATAATTCTGTACTCAATGGCATGTGATTATCTGCAGGAGAGGGCAATACTGTCTCTGAGGCATCAGTTTTCAGCACATTGTTATGAAACCGCTGCAAGTGTCTTAGAAGGCAACTTGTACCTAAATTTGTTGGCTTTTTCCCCCGACTAATTGTACGTCCACAGTGCATACATATTACTTTAGTTGAATCTGCAGAGCATATTGAAAAGTGATTCCACAGTTTTGAGGTCTTCTTGCTATTAACAGGAAATATAACTTGATTATCTGTTGTAACCATGGTGGGTAAGTCAGTCAACTTTGAGGATGAACATTCTGCAGAAGCCAAAGTAGCATAAGGAGAATTTGCCAAACTAAAATCTAGAAAACTCTTTTGGTTCCCAACCACCTCAGGGTGGCGTCTGCATAGATGTCTCATCAGGCAGCTTGTGCCCACATCTCCTTTTTTCCCACGATTTACCATGCAATTGCAATGTTTACACACCGCTTTTAGACTGTCTGCAGGAGACACTGAAAAATGATGCCAAACTTCTGATTTAAGCTTTTTCATCATCCTTTTATTCTGCTGAAACACAGCACTAGGTTCAAATATCAATGGACTTAAGCCCTCACAATGCTTCTCAAGAGAAGCTGCAAGGGAGGCTTCACCTATGTCATCAGAAGATGACAAAACTGATGAGTCTTCCATTAAAATATCTCCTGAAGGCAAATTAGAATGAATCTCTTCAGTCATTCTGTCTGGAGAGGAAGAAACAGAAGTTGATTCTTTAAGCAGTTTTCCAGGAGAGCATGACATTGAATTTAAATCACCATCTGAGGGCAGTAAAGAAGGCAACAAAGTTGGAGGAGCAGAATAGAGAGGCGGTATACTTGTGCCACCTCCATTTTCTTGCAAAACAATTGAACGGTGGGCTCTCCACATATGCCTTATTAAGCAACTGGTTCCAAGATCTTTTCCATTCTTTCCTCTGCTGAATTCATTCATGCAGTGGATACAAACTGCTTTAGAATTATCCAGAGGTGATAAGTAAAAATGTTTCCAGACGGCAGACCTTCTCCTGGAACCTGATGTATTCTTTGGAATCATAACAGTTTTTTCTGCTACATTCTCCACAATTTCATCATACTGGCTATTGGGTAGCTGTGGAGATGACCCAACCATGGTGGCTTCTTTGCTGCATTTTTCAGAAACTGCTAGATCTGGTATTTCTTCAGCAGAAACTATAGAAACAGATTCCTCAATTATTCGATCTGGAGATGGTATCTTAGAAGCAATTTTCTTGACCAGTTTTAAAGGTGATAACACAGTACTTAATTCTCCAATGTCCGCAGACTGAGGTGGCAGTAACAAAGTAGGTGAAGAAAAGGAAGATATACCTGGCATATTTCCATTTTCTTGAATAAGTACAGTAGGATGGGCTCTCCTAACATGCCTCATAAGACAACTTGTACTAAGGTCCTTTTCATTTTTACCCCTGCTAAATTCTTTCATACAGTACATACATATTGCTTTAGTGCTGTCTCTAGGGGATATAAAAAAATGATTCCATGCAGGGGATTTTTTCCTGGAGCTTATGTTTCTGCCCGAAAGGAGGCTTTGTGTCACAGCCTCCATTGCTACATCATACAGAGTGTTACTGTACTGAGAAAAGAGAGATCCGTAATCATCTTCATTTTCTGTAGATAAATATTTGCTGGGGTTGTGGGTAATGAAATTTTTTTCTTTGTCTTCTTGCTCATCACTGCTGTCAGTATGTTTGAAATCTTCCTGTTCTGTTTTTATATCAAATCTTTCCAAAGTACAATTAATAACATCATCTTCTTGCTCTACCTTTAAATTGTTGATTTTATCCAATACAAAATTACTGTCCATTCTAGGGGAATTTGCCTTATTTTCCATGGTTAACTTCTTTTTGTTGAGTCTTCATGAATTAATAAACAAACTAAAAAAGTATTAAAATTTGATTTAAAATGATATATCCTGTATTATGCACAAATAGAAATGTATCATTTATAATCCTTGGTTTTCGTATTCTATACTTGTTGTACACATATGATTAAAATGACATTGAAAAAAATTCTAGATTTAATTAATGAAATCTCATTTTTTTCCAGGATCAGGACATTGCAGCTTATGTTCTCAAACACAGCTACTATAAAATGCTTCATATTGTAGACATGGGCTTATAAACTGGATGTATTGTTTTCCTCGTCAAGGAAGCCATGCTGTTCATCTTGATTGTGTAATTCTGACTGCTTTACACCATCTAAAAAAAAGTAAGATATCAATTATCACACGAGAAATGTAAACATTAAATATCTCCCATTTTTCTTCCATTTCAACATTATAGTATCTACTGTAAAAAATCTCCATTATTCCATGCATCTACACGTGCACAAAAACAGACAGGCATTGGTAGAAACACTATAAATTAACGCTGCTACTACGATCTGAACTCAGAGTGGAACTTACAATCTTCTTGCACATTTCCATGATTTAATTCCTGCTCCAACGCTGTTGTAATTTAGAGGGCAGATACTAAATAGCTTTTATAGAAATATTACCTACCTTGTCCTCTGAAACTGTTCAGTTTGTGGAACATTACTCTGAAACATCAGTCCTCACAAACTCAAACTTCACATCATCTTTTAATTTTTCATGATTAAATATAATGACTATTTATTTTGGATAAGAAAGCTACATAAAGGCCAGGTCTGTGCTAAGAGCTTCTGTCAGCAGAACGAAATAAATCACGGGTGTAAAGAAACATGTTCCCTGACCAACTTAGCTTTACCAGCAGAAGCCTCTAGCATAAATAGACACAGTCCTAAAATGCAGTGATCCAGAAGAGCCTGGTTTTCCCATGCGAGATAACTTTGTAAATGAGTACAAAGCACACCTTTGCATGCAGAGCTGCAACCAGTATACCTAAAACAGTAAAGTACTCCTAGAGTAATCAGCAAAAAAAAGAAAAAGAAAAACAGAGAAAGCTTCTCAAATTTGTCAGCAGCTTCATTTTCTGCTATGAAAGGGATAGTTGCCTTGTTTGCAGAAATGCAGGCTTCCAGACTCACAACTCAGGCTTAGACTCTGCCTGTTTCCTGCCCCTTTTTACTTAATCTTACAACCTAACAGTAACAAGAAATCACAAAACAGAAAGCAATCAAAACTGAAATTGTAAATGACCACAGCTTAAAATCCAGCTAGAGGCTTCCTTCAGTAAAGTTTCTGTGGTTCATCCTGGCTGTTCAAGTCTATTATTAGCCCCTGACACATTACATTAGACGTGTACCGATACATGGGTCCCATACTGTATCGACACCAATAAAAGGAAAATTGACATTATTGGCAGTCGTTTTTTTTTGGCTGATGTGGTCAACGTTGCCGATAAACATGGTGTGCATGCACAACACAGCACAGCACACGTGTTCAGAAGCATGGCCCAACAGCATGAAGAGCAGCATCTGGCTGGTAAGCCTGTTGTTGGGAAAGGGGCATGGGGTAGAGGGCAGATTGAGGCCCCCGCGATGAGGGAGGGAGCGGGGCAAGGGAAGGGGCTGCACAGCTGAGACCGGGTGGGGGACAGGATGGAGCCATGAGTGACTCATCCAGGGGGCACGACTTCTGCCACTGCACACACCCCAGGAGGGCATGGGAGGGAGGTACTCCTTGGATCTACGTGCAAGGTGAGGGAGGCCTGCCGCTGCAGACGGGCCAGGGGCAGTGCCGGTGGGGGGGGGGGGGTGGCTAGGCTGGAGCTATGCTACAGCCACCCCAAAATTTGCCATAGCCCCCCTCCCAGCACCGAACTTGTCCACCCTGAGCACAGCCTGGCCCAAACCCCAGTGGGAAGAGCCTGTCACCATGCCTGGCCCCAGCCTGCAGCAGCAACCTACCCTCACTCCATGCACAGATCTGGGGGGCACATGACCCCATGCCCTTTCGGGGTCTGAAGTGACGGAAGCCATGCTCCCTGGATGAGCTGTGGCTCCGTCCCACACCCTGTCCACCTGTGCAGTGCCTGCCCCAGCCCTCACCATGGAGGCCTTGATCTCCCCCCTTTGCCCTCCCCCACAGCAGATATACCAGCCAGACGCTGCTCTCCATGCTGCTGGGCTGCATATTGGCAATCAGATCAGTATTGGCTGATATGGCTCGTTAAAAATCAGCCATTGGCATTGGCCCAAAAAATCTCTATTGGTGCACCACTAACTTTACATTTACGGATAGGGACAGACATTCAAAAAGCCTGAGCCTGAATTGATTTAATCTCTGCAGGTTAGTCTAACCTGCAGAGCTTGAACCGATCCACAAGTAGATAGACACTCACTTTTGAATTCAAGAAATGCAGGCACATGCCTGCAGTGGCTCACATCGGGGGGAGCTAGAACAAGCCCTCCCTTCCTTTTCATAGTGCTGAGCTGAGGAGGGGCGTAGCCAGGCCCTGCAGGATGCTATGATTAGGGAGGGGTTTAAACACCCACCTTGCCTACACAGCCCCCAGCTGAAGTGTGCCTGGGAGGGGAGAGGCAGGGGGAAGCAGCCCGTGCCAGAATCTTCCAGGCTTGCTGCTCAAGGGGTGGGAGTGTTGCCAGATACCAGGCCCCGGCTAATACTTCGAGGCAAAAAGGGGTGAGAGGGCAGGCGGGAGGAGGAGAGGACTGCTTGTGTGGAGTGCATGCATCTGTTGATGATATTGAGCTTTGCAATCTCCCTCTCCCTGCTTCTTCATACTGTCTGCAGCAAACTGACAGGCAAGCAAGCCAGCAGGGAGCTGATATATCACAAAGTTTATCAGCCTATCAGGAAAACAAAAAACTCTCTCATTAGTTCAAGCTCTTCTTAAACAGCTTTTTTCAAGGAAGGAAGGACAGCCATTACCAGCTGACCTGCTGATTAGCTCTAAAAAGCCCTAAGCAGACACTGTTCTGTCTGCCTTTGTCTCAGTGAAACTTGAGACATATGCAGACACCTCTCAGGATTAGCTAGCATGGAGATGGCATGGCTGTGACCAGATGCTGGCTGGGGTCCGTGCTGTGAGAGAAGGGATCTCTGCTTCAGTAGCTAGTGGCAGGGGAAGGAGGGTGAAGGCCAGGCCCCCACCCCTTCTCAGCCAGCTAGAGCAATGACAGTGCTCCACCTAGGGAGGAGAGGGGAAGAGCTATCCCTGCTCTCTGGAGCACACAGCACAGTCCAGCCCAGAATGAAAAGCATAATGGGATTTAACTTAAACCAGGAAGGGGTCTGGGACAGAAGTTCCATAAACAGGTTTGCCTCAAATCAGTTAAGTCTGATACTACATTCTACCAAGTTTATCTTAAACCAGTTTCAGCCATTTTGAAACTGGTTTATGTGCAGTGAACTTCTGTTCTGTTACAGGCTTAAACCTTGTTCTGATCACTTGAACTGGTTTATGTGTCCCTAGCCTAAGAGACAACAGGTTAATTATGCCATAAACAGTTACACAGCCACACATTCAAGTCAATTTAAAGAATGTTATAAGAATAAACAAGTTACAGTTATTCCGCATACAGTAAAAGCTGCACTATTCGGCATCTTACAAGCTGGCATGCTCCACTAACTGACATGCTGGCTTGTAAAATAAAGCAGCCTGCGCTGCCAAGCCCCCACGGCCCGGGGCCGTAACAGGCTGCGCAGGGCCGTTAGACGCCCACCTCCGTCCCATGACGCCCACAGGACCCGCAGGGCAGGCGGCGATGCGGCGGGAGCGGTGGAGGGATGCCCCAGATGCGATGGGAGAAGTGGTGGATGGGGCCGCTCAATTAACCGGCATATTTTGTTATCTGGCATCCCCCATTCCTGGGGCATGCCGGATAACAGGGCTTTTACTGTATAATGTGCAATAACTCTATGGCTCATTTGTCTCACCCCTTAAATTGAACATATGGCCACTTGGGATTGGCTCATGACAGATGCCATTCTCAACTGAGTGTCTAGTTCAGCATGGGGCAACCCCAAGGTCTGGGACAAAGCTATCCCCTCCCTAATACGGCTGGATGCAGAACTAGTTCATGGACCCTGGGACCTGTAAAAACTCATGTGCTTCCCAGCTGGGCAGCACACAGGGTTTTCACTCATCCCTGGGCATGGAGACCTTGGGAACAGGCTGTAACAGCCTAATCTCAGAGTAACCATGTGCCAGGACCTGTAAAAACTGTGTGTATCCCTGGGGTTTTAACAATCAGTTGATTATTGGCTGGGGCTGGGAAACGGACTGGGGCCAGTTTCAGATCCCGACAATCAGCTGATTTTAAGTACCTGGGTTTCAACTTCCTGGCACAGGAGGAGCCTGGGATTGTTTCCTGGGCTCCCTCCCCCTACACTGGCAAATAAGGATTGATTTGGATCTAATCTTTGATCACAAGAGGCACAATTGTTGGGATCAGGGAATCATAGAAAATTAGTGTTGGAAAGGACCTCAAGAAGTCTTCTAGTCTAGTGGTTCTTAACCTTTCTTCGACCAGGACTCAACTGCAAAAATCCATGGCCTGTCCCGACTCACATCCCCCAGCCCTGTCGGTGCATGACCCACAGTCCCCTGCCCCTCCGGGCCAGGCTGGGGCCCCTCACTCTCCAACCATCAGTACAGCGTACAGAGGGCCCTATCTGTCACCAGGACCCCTCGGCACATGAAGTATACTGTCCGCCTGGAGCAAAGATTCAGGACATGAAAGGCATGCTCCAAACTGTCA